TATCCTCTATAATTTAGTGGTTAGAGCACTGGTCTTGTAAGACAGGGGTTGGGGGTTCAATTCTCTCTTGGAGAATACTTATAAAAAATCAAATAGTTGAAATAATCACATATGTATGTATGTTCTATACTTTTATATATCTATGTGTATGTATGTATGTACCTATATATGTAAGTATGTATGATATCATAAAATGTGTATAGAGTATGAAAGTACTTTCATACAATAATCTAATTTTGTATATTATATCGATATTCTATATGCTGGTGAATGAGAAGTTGTTATCTCTGAATTTCTTAAGGGGTTGAGGATTTAAATATATACTTTATTAATTATCTGTTTATAATTTAGTGATAACTTAACCATTTAACCATCTGTTGTAAATTATATACCTATGAGTGTATATATTAGGTTGATGATATTGTTATGTGGATGTATAGTAGACTATCCTATGACAAATTTCATTTTCATTACACTTTTTAAATATTTATATATATATATATATATATATATAATATTTGTGTATAGATAGAAATTGATATTGTATAGTTAATAACGTTTTCTTTAATATGTTATAGTATTTTATATTATTAATGTATAACATTAGAAATCACTAACGTTTGATAAACTATACTTATCGAATACATTATTTTGATAAAAATATAAAACCCATCAATCACTATGTATAGGTATTTAAGTATTTTCACACAATAATCTAAATCATATCGATATTCTATAAACCGATAAATGAGAGGTTGTTATCCCTTAGTTTCTTAAGCGGTTGTGGGTTGGGATGTGTAACTTGTTTATTATTTATTAATAATTTAGTGTTAAGTATGAACATCTGTTATGAATTACATACCTGAGAGTGGTCTAAACAGACTATTAGTTAATCATTTATCATGCTTATATTGTTGTTATTATATATTTTTTATAATAATATAATATACATATATCACATATGTATGTTAAATGTTATTCCAGCATACTATCTATAATACTGTCTTAGATTTACTATGTGTATAGTCATTACATCGAAAGACGATAGATCGAAATATCATTTAAATTAGATTTGATCTTTTATAATATTATCAGTGGTTGTTAATTTTCCTACATATATCAGTATAGTAGTTTGAAGTATAATTCTTAAGATGTGAGTAATGAGGATAACAATTTACTCAGTTATAGATATAATATGAGAGCCTCCATAGTTCAGTGGTTAGAGCGCTGGTCTTGTAAACTAGAGGTCGGGAGTTCGATTCTCTCTGGAGGCATAACGTTTTTTTGTTAAAAAATCGCTATAGTGTTAATATTTATTAAATATAAGAATCGACTCTGTTATATATAATATTTCTTATCCCCCGGCTATAGGACGTGTGATAATTAAATTATCGAAATAATAGCATGGAATGTGATGGATGAGAGGGGAGGGGGTATGGCTGAGCACGGTNAACACATATTATATTAGGAAATGTAAAGTTATACCGCCTATATGAATCATTTGATTTCAACACTATACTCCGATCAGTAAAGTTGTCTGTAAAGTGTCCAGTGTTTCGTGTTTTTTTTTCATTAATTTAAAAAATGGGTAAGGACTGGCGTTTTGGCCGAAAAACTAGGCGTAAGTTAAGTGCACCTAAATTAAAAAAACACAGACTGAACAATTTACAATCGATAAAAAAAAAAAGTGACAAAGATCATAGCTGTGATGTTCAGGTAATTATATAAACACATATAGAATTTAGAATAATATTACTATTTTAAATATTGAAGAATATTCAGTATTATTTTATTTTGATTGTGACAGGGAAATGCTCATTTATCAGTATCTGAAAATAATTTGACAGATAATAATACCATAGAACTTACTACTGTCAGTAGGTAAGTAAAACAGTTATTGGAAATTAGTTATTAGTATTTTTTAAATTTTAACAACAAAATAATTTGCAAATATTCATGTTTTTAACCAATTTTTGTCAATATTTGAACCTAAAATGCTAATAAAAAAAATGATGCCTATATGTATTCTCATAATTTTTGAATCACTATAAGAATAACTTATGAGGAACTTTGTATTAAATTTTCAAGTATTTTGACTCGGCCAAAACAATTTTATCGCCAATTCAAAAAAAAGCGGGTAAGTGGGTATCGCTCTGCTGTACATTATAGGGGCCGTATGCATTACTATTATTACTATTATACATTACAAAAGTGTTAAATTTGAATATGATGATAGGTATCATTGCATACGAAAAACGATTCTGAACGGAGATAATTTTTACGAATTTTTGTCAATATTTGAACTTCAAATGTCAATAAAAAAAAATCGTGCCTATGTATTCTTATAATTTTTTAATCACTATAAGAATAACTTATGAGAAACTTTGCATTAAATTTTCAAGTATTTTGACCCAGCCAAAAATAATTTATCGGTACTTAAAAAAAAAAAAAAATTATCAGAAAAATCGAAAATTTCAGTTGTCTATAAATAGCTCAAAAAAATTCAAAATATTTTAAAAATTAAATCATGTAAAGAAAATGCCAATCTAAAGAACTGGTGAAATTTTCAAGTATCTACGACTTATACTTTTTGAAAAATAACAAATATTTAATATCATAATTTTGACCTCTATAATGCACCAAGGATATTCCCTTTGTCATCGGGAACCACCCCTGAAGTTTGAAATTGAAGCAGTATTTCGACTAGTTATGCTGTACAGTGTACACAGACACAAAAAAAAACACACATCATTGTATAATCAATATAATATATTCATCATTTCGTTCAAAATTCTAAAGGTAAAGAGAAAAAAACGTTAAGTAGAAAATAAATAAATTACAACTTTTGACATGAAAAATGTGTAGGTATATACCGTCTAAAAAAACTTATTTTGATAGATAAAATATTGATAGTTACGAAATAGGTTCTGCTTTAATTTAACGCTGATTTCTTGTTTATGCATAGAACTAATACCAATGATGTTGAATTTATAAACGCCGAATCTTTGTACCATGATAACTTTACCTCTCATCAAACCAAATCATATTTTGCTTCTACTCCATTAAACATTAAGTTATTTACCGAAGTAGTTGAGCAGGAAAATAATAATACCGAAGTAAATAACTCATTTGATAGTCTGAATTGAAGAAGATTAGTCAATATAAGATATATTTTTGAGTCGATACAGTCAATAAAACACCAAGGGTTTGATTGTACATTTCGTGACTTAGAATTTACTAAAGAGAAGAGAAAAGGGTTTTTCAGTACTTTTTGTTTTACTTGCAAATTATGTGGCAAAAGAAACTATTAATAGTGAAGATCCTTCTGATAACGTAAATATAAATGCTAATATGGCAGTCGTGTCTGCTGTTGTAAATACTGGTCAAGGATATGGTCAACTTGAAGAATTTGCTGCAACGTTGAATATGCTGGTCATTTCTAATAGATGAGAACAAGAAGGCAACACCAGTGTGAAGAATGGTGTATTGAAAGGAAAAAACGGTTAGTACCTACCTATTATTTATTTAGTTTTATTTATGAACTTTAGTTGTATGAGTTATGATTTATAATTTACAATAATTGATGCAATATCTAAAATATTTTCAGACTTACAGCATCTATTTTCGGGAAAGTTTGTAAAATGCGTGATAAAACGTCACGTGCTAAAACTGTGAACGATATTTTATTTGGCACATTCACTGGAAATACCGCCACTAGGTATGGAATTGCCAATGAAGTAATTGCTAAAGAACAGCTAGAAGACCTTCTAAAGACAAAAATACAATCTGCTGGTTTAATTGTTGACAAAAATATACCATTTATAGCCGCCTCCCCTGACGGAATACTAGACGATGAATCGCTAGTAGAAATGAAATGTCCAGCTAGTGCCAAAGAACTTGCACCAGAAGATGCTATACAAAGCAATAAAATTAAGTATTGCTCAATTAAGGATGGGACATTGTACTTAAAACGCAACGATACTTATTATTATCAAGTTTAGGGTCAACTGCACATCAGTCAAAAGACTTATTGCTATTTTTGTGTATGGACCCCAAAAGGTAAACACAAATTATTAAAATTATACATTTATTTAAAATATATGTACTAAAAAAAAACTAATCATTACAGGTTTGATGTATGAAAAAATAAAACGAGACGTTGATTTTTGGAAAAATAACATGGTGACCAAAATTAAATTTATTTAGAAAATCTCTTACCAGTCTTAATCAAAGAAAATTTAATGCAATAAATCTTTTAATATTTTTTTTTTAACCCTCAAAATAATTTTATATACATCTACATTATTATAATATTATATAATTTTTTTTTTATTAATTAAATCCATATATGTATTAATTGTATCTGCAGTTATTACTTACTTCATATTTGTATATTTTAAATTGTATCTATCGTAATTCATACTATAGGCTGTCTACAGCATTTTTATTAATTTTATTGTATTTTTTAAATTTTAACTAGGTAATAGCTATTATGATAATATCATAAAAACAGATGCCCGTATGAATGTGTAACATAAATATATAAACACATTATAACAATAATAATCGTTTCTTTTGATTATTATCGTAGTTCCAGAAATTCGTATTTTGGATAATGGGCGGGTGGCAGTATGATAAAAACGATAACGGATTACACACACTAATGTTAATTTATTACTCACACATAGACAAAGCCAAAATGTTCATGTCATACAAATTGCCTAAATATTACTCCTTAAAACATGATACGCTGGAGCCCCCTTAAACATTGACGAATCAGTTCCGATGTACAAGTCATAGAACGAAAACTGTGATTGTGAATTACTGTATGATACACAAAAGTAGCTTCGCGGGCGGCTAACAAAAAATCAATTTCAGTAGGAACCAAAGCAGAAAAATAGTTGGAAACTTTACCAGATTGAATCGATGATCTTGTAGCTAACTTATGTTTTTGCGTTTTGAGGTGATCGTTTATGTCCGATCGTCCACCATGACTTACTGAAAAAGTTCCATGGCAAGTTGTACACTGTACATTGAAATCGTCAGTAGATTTAAGTTTTTTAATAAATGGGAAATCATTTTGCAACTTTTCGTTAAAATGACAAAGTCTTTTAGGCGGCATAGTCACTACGACACTACGACACTGTAAATTATAAATACGAACAAAACTGTTGATAAATCAGATAAATATTGCATTCGCATATAACTTGTATCGTCAGCAAATTACTGTTAACTAATTTATAATGTATAGACTATAGGTAAATTATACATTCTGTAGTATAATCTTTCGTAACCGTAATACTCGAAATTTAAAATCATAATATGGTTTTTCCCGATTTAATATTAATTATAACTGATTACAACTGCAATTGTCGTACATTCCGACGTTCGTTATCGAAATAATATACGATTAGGATTTGTTCAAAATAAAATCGATAACCGAGTAAGTAAAAGAATACCAATTTAAAAACGGTTTTAATTTCCGGGACACAACTATGCAAAAGTCCAAAACCGGTACAAATCGGTGTCCCGAGAACTTTGTCCGGGACGCCGGGACATGGGTTCCTAAACCGGTAACGTCCCGGGAAATCCGGGACGAATGGCCACCTTACTATAATAGCTTGAAAAATTCAACACAAGTCCAAAATTTCAGTCGACTTGTCGACAAACCACGTACATGGACCAAATTTTACGCTCAGCAGAACACGTGTAGCTCCGTTAATTTAAAAATTAAAGTGAATTGACCTCTTCTAAAATCTAAAGGTAAGATAATTATCTAGGCAACCTCATTGGATTTTTATTATATTTTTAGTTTAACGCATGTTATAAATATTTTAAGATGTATAAAAAATTTACAATTTTAAAAAACTCATAACTCGCGTTAAAATTAAAATATAATAAAAAAACCTATGAGGTTGCCTAGATAATAATCTTACCTTTAGATTTTATACGAGGTCAATTCGCACCAGGGGAGTGCCTGGGGGGGGGGGACATTATAGGTGGAACTTGATTAGGTTAGGTTCACATGGTGTCTTTGAATCGCTATCGTGAAACACGCTCATTGTTTCGTGTCATGTGAGCGATATATGTAAATAGGAAATCCGTATACCCATAAATACGCGCGATTGACCGGAGTGCGTGTACTATAACACATCGGCTATTGTACTTTATCGTCGAATTTCGGATATGATATATTGTGTTCCATGTAGCCACGTAAAAATTAAACACGATTCATTTCGACAATGTTAACTATACAGTGAACAACATCAAAACTCAAAAGATTTATAATACGATATTGCCACGTAAGTTTAATATTCTGTACTAATTTTTGTTTAATAAATTAATTTATTATAATTGTTAATACAAATTCCATTATAATTTCTAGAAGATGAAAAGATCAGGTAAAATAACAGATTTGTTCCAATTAAAAGAACAAATAAATTGTCAAAGACAACTGATACTGACAACATAGGAAATATTGAAAGCGTCGAAAATGAAAATAAAGTTTCTACGTGAATAAATTTCGATTCTCAAGACATTGGTGCGTACATAAACTTAAGAGAAAAAAATATTATTTTAAATGATTTGAAACGTGAACAACTACTTACATCTCCGTGGGTCCCCCTGAGTGGATATGTATTTCCTATAGACAATACCAATAAACGAAATTTACGTTTTCAAATGAGTTGGATAAATAGATTTTCATGGTTGGTATATTCTGAAATAGAAAAAGGGGCTCTATGTAAGTTTTGTGTTCTATTTTCTAATTCTGATACTGGTAAAGGCAGTCACGAAAAAATAAAAAGTTTTGTGACACAGCCATTTAAAAAATGGAAAAATGCGATAGAGAAATTTAATGATCAGGAAAATTGCCAGTACCATAAACTATCTAAAGAAGAAAATTTTTTGTCAGTAAATTATCGAAAGCAAAAATCTGTGATTGAAGTCTTAAACTCTGAACAAGCCAGTCAAGCTTCAGAAAATAGAAAAAAACTATATTCAATAGTTGATACAATTATTCTTTGTGGTGGATTAGAAATGTCTTTAAGAGGAAAAACTGATTCAGGACGTATACATGTAGACGAAGAAGGGAAAACTGGTGGTAAATTCCTTGAACTACTCAAATTTAGGGTGAACGCTGGAGATGAAATTTAAAAAAAAACATTTAACTGAAGGGAGTTTAAATGCACAATTTACAAGTGCTAAAGTACAAAATCAATTAATGAATATTTTTAGTGATATTATATCAGAAAAAGTAGTTGAGAAAGTTAACCGGGCTAAGATATTTTCAGTTATGGCAGATGCAACTACTGACGTCTCTAAACAAGAGCAAATGTCTCTATGTATCCGTTACATTGATCCCGATTTGACATCCCCTTTAATTCGAGAAGATTTTTTAAGGTTTGTAGTTGTTTCTGATTTAAGTGGCCAAGGTCTAGCGAAAACTATTATTGAAAATTTACAATCGGCCGGTATTAACTTAGACTTTAATTGGCCAGGGTTATGACGGCGCGGCTTCTATGAGTGGTCATTTGAATGGTGCTCAAGCTGTAATACGTACAAAATATCCAAAGGCATTATTTGTCCATTGCAGTGCGCATTCTCTTAATCTTGTAATCAATGATGCATGTAAGATAACTGTTGTCAGAAATACTGTGGGTAGTGTATTGTCAGTTTGTAATTTTTTTCGAGGATCAGCTCAACGCACTGATGTTTTAAAAAAGCATGTGATAAATCATTTTCCAAGTAGTAGACATACAGTACTGTTATCGATGTGTGAAACGAGATGGGTCTTAAGACACGATGCTATTAATCACTTTAAAGAAATGTACATTCCAATAATTCATGCGTTAGAAGATCTCCAAAATTCAATCAATACCGAAACTTCCAATAAAGCTTATCAACTCCTTTCAGTGATATTAAATGGCCAATTTTTTATTACATTAAGCATAAAAGAAAAAGTATTTGCTTATACGTTACTATTATGTTATCACTTACAGACTGTGAATTCCGATTTAACTGCTGCATGTGATCATGTTCAAAATATAATTGATGCTCTTAGTAATCTTCGTGAAAATAGTGATTCCAGTTTTAAATCAATATATGATACATGTAATCAAATACTTATTGATGTAGGTAGCGAAGTGACAATTCCTCGCTGCGTAAAAAAACAAATAAACCGGGATAATACTCCCTCACAATCACCTGAAGAGTACTACAGACGCACAATATTTAATTCATTTTTAGACCACACTATTGTTCATATAGCAGACCGTTTTATAAAACATAAAGAAATAATAACGAACTTAGAAAAAAGTAATTCCAAGTCGTATAAATGTAAACTCACTAGATCTATCAAAAGATACTATAACCTTTTATGAAAGTTTATTGCCAGATTCTACAGTATTTAATGAAGAGTTCTCCACATGGAAATTAAAATGGCTAAAAAATAACATAGAAAAAAAACCTTCAAATGCAGTAGAGTCATAATTAGAATATGATGAAAGGTTTTTCGGTTTTCCCAAATATAAGAAAACTGTTGGACATATTAGCAACTTTACCCGTGTCTACGGCAACCGCAGAAAGGACATTTTCTACTTTACGGCGTATCAAAACATATTTGCGCAACACAACTGGCGAAGATCGGTTAACTGGGTTAGCTCTTCTTTCAATTCAAAAAGAAAATAACGTTGATCCTAATGAAGTGGTGAGAAGGTTCGCTTTAATACCTCGAAGACAAGGATTCATTCTATGATTTTTTTTTTTTAGTATAATATATACGACGAGTGACGACAAATTATTCAAAATGTATTTTAATGTATTATAAATTATTATTATTATTTTTTTTAAATATTACTATTGAATAATATGACACGATATAGCTAATTAATATCTAGTAAAATAAATACACTAAATTACTTAAAATAGGTACGTTATTAAAAATTTTGACCCCCCCCCCCCCCCAAAAAAAAAAAAAATTTCTAGGCAAGCCCCTGATTCGCACTAATTTTTAAACTAACGGAGCTACACATGTTCTACTGAACGTAAAATTTGCTATGTTACGCACTTGTAAGGCAGAGACAACACATGCAGGTATCACGTCCTCTTAACGACCAATAGACAATAGTTTCGGTACCCGACATTAAAATTCGATCAAAATCAAATAATTCTTTTCGTGCAACTTTATCCTACAGTCATATTTTTTATTTTTTTTATGACATACATTTCATATTCCGAAGCAGATTATTATTCGGAGTACTTCAATGAATAAAAATTTAATTATAGACTATTCGATTATGAGATATTATAAATTATAATACAAATATTTAAAGATTACACGTGTTCGAACCGGAGTCGTTTTCGTGTCTGTGACAAGCAGTGTGTCCGTGTGACGCCTGTCTGGTCACCCCGCTGGTTTTACGACGACGAAGGGCGCTTGCACGAACTTTTGGCGACCGGCGTCACTGACCACCGGTTGTTCTGCGGTCCGTCGTCGTCGTCTTAAGGTAGAAACACACTACTGTCACGTCACGTGAAATCACACATTGTCATGTGAGCTCACATGACAGGGGAAAAGTGCGTAGTGCCATTTTACATATTATTTGAATCCATCAGTAACACACTGTTATCACGTCATGCTTATCACGTCACGTTACTAAACTCACGCGTGAAATCACGTCTCTATTTTCTGAAAGTTTGCACATTTGTGACTCACGTGACAACACGTAAACTAGTGTTTCATACTAATATAATTTCGTTTTAAATTGAAAATTCAAAAATGGATGAAATGCTTATTGAAAAAGTTAGGGAATATAATGTTCTATATGACCATGGGTCATCTGATTACCGAGATCAACATATTCGGCAAAATGCATGGGAAGAAATTGGTCAAGATCTAAAAATATCAGGTATGTTTTATTTTCTAAACAAAACTTTCTAACAAAATGTCTAAATTCAAAATTTTAACAAAATAATATAATATAAATCGTTAAAATAAACACTGTACCTACTGTATACAACAGTAATAATTTTAATAGTTTCATATGAGAGTATAATATGTTTTTACTGTCCCACTACAACCCTTCAAAATATGGCACTGTAATTATTTGTATGCGTTATTTTTTCTTTATTTCTCGTTCCTTTGGTTTGGTATTTCCATGATGATTCGATATCATAATTATTACTAATAATATTATAGCGCTATTTTTTTTACTTTAATGTTACAACACAATAATAATTAAATAATAGCATTTTGACGCCATATCTTTGAACCATGACACGTATGTAAATAACGATGGAGTGGGACAGTACTGCTTATCGCCTGTGAGCGTCGACTGAATAAAAATAACCAGATTGTAGAAAAGTGCCCATGTAAAAATACTTTTATCTATAAAATCGCGATTGTAGTATTTTTTCAACGTTTATTATTTCAACAAGATTGCTATAGATATTATAATATAAACGATCTTTAACCAAATAAAAATAAAAGTATTGTTTGCTTACTAGAATATTAAATGTATTTTAAAAATTTTATGTAGGTATATTAATTGTTTATATTATATATAAATAATAATAATTTTTAATTATGTTTGTTTTTTTCCCTTACGAACACTCTCAATTTGCCAAACTAAACTGCCAACATTTGAATTAAAATATTCTTTAAAATAGTCTCGTACTTGAAATGCTTCGCGCGTGCTATTTCTTCTTAATGAATCTACATTTAATAGAGCTGATTCTGGAAGTTGAAGTGATTCAGTGTCTGGTTCAAACGCATTATCTGCACACAACATGTTATGAAGGCAGCATGATGCGAGTACAACTTTATCAACAAATTCTGGTTGAATTTCTAAGGGTCCTCGAAAACATCTCCAGCGTGCAGCTAGGATTCCAAAAGCATTCTCCACAACACGCCTGGCCCGTGACAATCTGTAGTTAAATATTTTGTTGGGTTCGTTGTCCTCTAAATAACTTCTGCTATATGGACGAAGTAGATAGGTTTTCAATGGAAACGCTTCGTCGCCAACAATGACATATGGCTGTGGTTGTCCATTTTGTATTATGGGGGCTGGTTCTGGAATATTGAACGTCTTGCTTTGTAGTTTTTTTCCAATTATTGAATTAGACAAAATACCGCCATCGCTGTTTCTTCCATACGCTCCCACGTCAATCGCAATGAATTTATAATCAGCATCAACTAAAGCTAGAAGTACAATGGAATGACTGCCTTTATAATTATAGTATGTGGATCCAGCATTGATCGGACACTGAATATTAATGTGCTTGCCGTCAATAGCACCAATGCAGTTCGGAAAATTCCACATTTCTTTGTATCTCGAGGCAATAGTTTTCCACATTTCTTCCGTCGGTTGTGGCATTGTAATTGGTCCTAGTCTCTTCCATATTGCTTGACAAACTTCTTGAACGATTTCACGAACAGTGCTAAATCCTAATCTATAACTGAAGCCAATGCTTCTAAATGAATTTCCTGTGGCTAGAAATCTGAAAAATATAAGAAATCTAGTTACATCCACTTGAAATAAAAATATGTATAGGTAAGTTAGGAAACCAACTTCGAAGAAAAATAATAATTTAATATCTCTATGAAATGTTGAATATTTCGTAAAATAAAAATCAGTGTATTTCTTTTAATGTGAATAAATAATAAGCTTAAACAATACGCTGGCTAATGTGAATTTCTAAACTATTAACTATGTACATTAAAATAAATAAACTTTAGAAATAAATATTTAAAAAAAATGTATTAAAAAATAAATACTAAGAGGGAGACATGACATATTATGTAGTAGTGCTGATTTCAGCGGTTCCCAGTTCATAAAAAAAATGCTCAACTTTTTACAGGAAGTGAAGCCAAACTACGGTGGGATAAATTAAGAAGATGTTTCACTAATGCGAAAAATAGGCGCCGTGAAAATACTAAAAGCGGTATGGCTTCCAAAAAAAAAACTTTTTGGAAATATGAAAATCAAATGTCATTTATCTTACCATTTTTAGAAAATAGAAAGTGAGTATAAATATATTGTAAGAGTATAATAATTTTTTATTTATTTATACCTAATTTTTCCCCTAAAAATATGTCACTACCTACATGGCTTTACGGAATAAAAAGTAGTTCTAAAAATCAATAATTAAAAACACAATTACGAACCCACAATAATTATAATACTTACGCATTATAATATACTATATTTATTTTATCTTATTACTCTGTATCTATTTTTATATTTAAATAAAAATGTTTATTTAAGGACACATGGAAACTTGAACGAGTCTCAAGCGTCTATCGATGTAGTGGCTGATTCAGGTGATTTTTCAGACGAGTTTGGAGAAAATGATACACCAAGTCCATCAGAAAACTGTGGTAATGTGGATGTGGAAGTAGGACGAAATTTCCAGGCTATTGATAAATTAACTCTACACGATGTCGAGTCAGTGGAAAACCATGACGTAGCCATAAAACGAACCAAAAAAGAAAAATCTCAACCTATTACTCCAGTTCAACAAATGGTTGACATTTTAAAAGAAAATTCGGCTTAAAAAAAACGCCGATTTGAAGAAAAAAGTGTACGTTCAGACTCAGACTCGTCTAAAACTGACTTTTTAAATAGTTTAGACGACACAGATATGTTCTTTTTAAGTATGTCAAAAATGACCAAACAATTGCCAAAAATTGAACAATCACGAATCAAACTTGGATTGAGCAATTCCGTATTATCTGCTGAAATAAGAACTAACGAACAATCATATTTCGGCACACCTGGTTATTCCTGTTACCCACAACAATCTGTTTCATCTATATCATCGGAATCAAGTACAATACAACCTACTACATCACCCTCTTATTACTCTAGTGGAGAACATTCAACTACTTCAGCACAACATCAAAGGCAATCATTACTTGAAATGGCGTCTCTTCCTCCGCAAGATTATGAGTGAAATATAATAATACATTTTTTAGTAATTCAAAAACAGTAGTTTGATTTTTTTTTTTTTTTTTATTTTAAACAGGTTTAATTAAAAAGGTATTTTTATATTTTAATAAAGGTTTAATTAAAAAAAATATTTTGATTTTTAAAAATATCTATATTTATAAGGTATAAGGTATAATTTTTTCCTACATACCTTAAACAAACAGCTAATCTTTCTTCAGTAGTTATGGCTTTTCGAAGTTGAGTGTTTCGTTTGTATATATCAATTTTAATAAGTTCATGTATATAATCAAATTGTTCTATTGTCATTCTAAAATACATATGGAAACGTTTCGAATCGTTTCGTAGCTCTTGAACTAGCCTTCGAAACTCACCCAACTCTTCTCTTTTGGTATTTATATCATGGACCCATGTTCTTGTCGATCTTTTCTTTCTCTCGTCTTCATCGAGGACCACAAAAGCAGCAACAGTTTCCCAATCTGATGAATCGGATGAACTCGAACTTTCCATAGTTAAAATATAAATTAAAAAACTGACAAGTGCTCGTATCAAATACACAGTGATAACTGTTTAAATATAGGTACTGCTAAATGGTGGAAGGCATGACACGAGTTTATGACAATAGTGTATTTCTAAACGTGATATCACGGCTTATCACGGTTGTGACACGCCAACGTGATTTCACGTGACGTGACAGTAGTGTGTTTCTACCTTTAGTCTTTTTACCACCGCCGTCCGGCATAGTTCGCCGTGACCGTGGGTGTCGGTCGCTTTTGTTGTACCACGTTGTCGTCGTGTGTCGACCGACAACCCTTTTTGATACTGAGTGCGAGTTTGATTCCCCAACATCACCCGTCGCACGTAACTACTCGTGCTCGCACTTTCGCATATATTGTATTAGACTCAAAAGGAGTTCTAGTGTGGCTCGTGACATTGTATCATCACGAGGTCAACGGATTCACCATCGTCGAGCAATCTACAATTTGATTTGGCGAATTCGCGGGATTACGCAATCTATTCTTATCGATATCCGTCTTTGTCGTGGGATTCTGCCACCATTTGTGACCAGGCACCAGCGGTATCTTTGATATTATTATTATTCTATTTTTCTGTTTTTGTATTAATTTGCATATTGCGCATTTGTTGTACCCTTGATACTATATAATTTCATTGACATTATAATTATTATTGTAATTGTAGCGCGTATACTGCCCGGGCGTCGTATAGTTATAATTATCAGTATTTTTGTAAAATATACATATTGCGCACTGCGCCTAACGAAAATTTCCATTGGAACATCGATAATTTCCCATTTATGTTTGTTTAAGGTTTTAACTGAGTGGTTAGTTTATTTTGTACACGTTTTTTTTTTACTTGTTTCATATCCGTTGACCTGTTGACTATTATGTACAATAATTTTAATATTGATGTATTTAAATTATGGAATTCGTCACGAGTGAAGGCTTCAGGTCAAATAGTAAAATTTTCCATTTTAACCCTTTGACGAGTATGGACGGATATTTCCGTCATTCAATAATGTAGCTTTATAGAGTAATGACGTATATTTCCGTCATGTTGTAATTTCTAACTTATTTGATTTCTTATATTTTCAGGAGTGATGTTATCAATAATAAACCTATTATGAAATATTTAGCATGATATCTCACCAGACAGTAAAAAAAAACGGTTTATATCACTAGAAAAAAAACGGTTTATATCACTAAAAAATAAACGGTTTATATCACTATCATGGATGAAAAAT